AATCTAAGAGAACAGAATTTAGGTGCAGTTACCTTGGCAACTAAACCACACAGATTAAGTCAGTAATAAGAGACTGTACTCAGGTAATAACTTTTACCCTGCCTGAAAGCATGAAAGGAAAAATATTCCATGGTTATTTGCAAATAATTCCATGGTCTTATACTGTTTCTTAAAACAGTGTAAGAAAAAAATCAGTGCTATAACACAGCTCACTTTAAGAACTCTGAAGATTTGTGACTCCAGAGATCCAAGTCCTTTGAATGCTAAAGAATCTTTTACACTGAAGAATGGGGGTCGAGGGAATACAGTCTCTTTCAAATTAAACTAAAGAGAAAATGCCTAGGGCATGCAACTATTAATAGAATGCAAATGTCTGGAATTCTTATTTCTCAGTGTAAATCACATGAATAAATTCACTAATATTTCTGATGCCGGTTTATTCATTAAACTAAATACAAGTTCTGCTTCTACTTACAATATAAAAGTGGACAGAATAAAACTCAGTCAATAACAATACAAATAAATTAAAATTTGAAAAAACAAAAGCTGGAAAGAGTTTTAACAATGAGAAAGAGTCAGATAAAAATCACAACTTTTCTTGAACCCATCACATAGCTGAAATAGCAAGGCAACCAACTAGCCTGAATGTCAAGGAGAGTCAACCCACACTCCCCACCCCCACCCCACATGCATACCACCAGGACAGTCTCGCTAGTAGCAGAGTATGAGAGGAAGGCAAGCAGATAAGAAAAAAAAAATCAACTAAAATTTTAGGGCTAGTGTGACAGCATAAACCCCCTGGGGGAGGCAAACACAAGGGGAGTTGACACTCAGTTCATAGGCCCTTTCCACAGACCTCTACCAGATATTCCTGGGAAAGACTGGAGCAGGTCATGAGACAAGAAAGCCTCCCTAAGGGAACAGGCATGGAGGAGATAAGCTATGCTGCCAGAAAGGCATGTAAAGATGAAACCCTCTAGAGCACAGGTAAACACCCATTGTATATAGGGAAAAAAAAGAAGAAAAAATACCACTAAGACTTCTACAGTTAGAGGTAAGGCAGGAAACAAAAATTTGGGAAAGATTCTAGACATTCTTGAACAAGATCTGCGATATATACATACCATGGGGAGGTGGGACAGAAAATCTGAGAAAATTCCATCCCTGAAGTCCAGTCACACTGAACCTACTTAAGACAAAGGCTGGATTTGGGAAACAGAGAATCCCTCTCACACCTATTACCAGCCTAACAAGCAATGAGTAATAAGCAACAATAGTCTACTGCTACTAGGGGAGTATGGAGAGAGACACCCCTACTCTTAGGTGCAGTGCACAGGCACGGCAGCTGAAAATGATGGTCCCTGAAACTAATCAGGAACTAGGAACACAGAGAAAAACCTTCCAACAACCCAGCCCCCTCCCTAAGCACAAGGTGACAATACAGAAACTTAAAGCTGATAGTAACCATAGCAACAACAAAACCAAAACCTAACTCAACTGACTGGCTTGACCCAAGGCTCTGAGAGAAGAAGCATGCACATTTCCAGGCCTAAATACTAAGTACTTCAGTCTCTACTTTTCTACACAAAATGTCTGGCAGTCAACAAAAAAAAATTGAGACACTTGAAGAAAAAGAATCTATTGCCAAGAGAGAAACAGTACCAGAGTCAGAGATGACATGGTGGCCTTTTTTATCAGGATCTGCCAATGACAAACCATGAGTATATATACACATATGGAGGAGAAGTGGGGACATTCAGAATGACAAGAAAGCGAAAAGCAAGCACAAAAAATCAGCCATGAAAAAACCATTTTTTAATATACTGTAAGTCAGTAGATTAAAAAATTAAAACCACAACTAGAATTATGAATACTATGATTCTCATCAAGCTACTCGATAACTCTCATTGTCCAACATGAAAAAAATTGCTAATAATTTGTCATATATTTTTTAAAAGTATGAGTATTTTTTACACTATGCTTTTCAGGTGAGTGAAATCATTTTAAAGTTGCTCTAGAATAGAATATGGAGCAGATATAAAATGAAAAATTTCTACAGGATAAAAGAAAACATTTAAAGGTAAAAGTCTCAAAATAATTAATATCTTTAATAAACAAATACTTTAACAAAGCAGAAAGGAAAAAAAACCAGCCTAATAGAAAATAGGCAGAAGATATAAATTAGAAACACACGGAAGGAGCACAAAAGATTGACAATATCGAAGGTTGTTAAGAATGTGAAAACTGGGCACTCTCACCTCTGCTAAGTGGGGATATAAACTATTACAACCAATACTTCTCCAACAACAACTTCTGTCAACAACAAAAAATTCAGGTACTATTCACACTCAAAGGAAGACTCCTTTCTAGTTACATTTCCACCACCTTCCTCTTCATCCTATACACAAGTCATATCAGACTGTATTACATCCACATTATTTACTTTCACACCTCTACACCACTGAAACACCTCTCTCTCAATTCCCCTGCAAAATTCTATCTTTCAAGACCCAGCTCAAATACGTCCTGCCCCACTCTCCTCCAGGTAAAACTGGCGTTTCATCTATAATCCCATAGCACTTGATCCATTCCTCTACTATAAGAGTTAAAACATATTAAAGTTATTGCACAGAAATGTGCCAATTTATAATATATAAAGAGCTCCTACTAATTAACAAAAAAGGACTAGGACATGAGCAGAAAATTCACAGTAAAGAAAACATAAACAGCTCTTAAATATAGGAAAAGATATATAACCTTAATAACAATAACAATAGAAATAGAAATCAAATCATACAATTTATTACCTATCAAATTTGGCAAAAATCAAAAATTTTGACTATACTGTATACATGAAAATAGGCATGTAATAATACTTGCTGGTAAGGACATAAATTGGCAAGATCTCTATGAAGGCAATTTGTATTGCCTATCAAAATGATAAATGCACACTCAAATCTCTTGACTCAACAATTCTATTTCTCAGGATTTTTACTACAAAAATATTCATAATATTTGACAAGATCTATGTACATAATTATTCATGCAGGACCATTTCTAATAGCAAAAAATAGAAAAGCTAAATGTGCATCAACAAAATGGTTAAAAATTATGGTAAATTCACACAATAAAATATTACACCCATGTTCACTGCAGCATTATTTACAATAGCCAAGACATGGAAGCAGTCTAAGTATCAATTGTTTGATAAATGGATAAAGAAAATGTGGTATATACACAATTAAATATTATTTAGCCATATAAAAAGAAATTTGCCATTCGGAGCAAGATAGATGGATCTTGAGGGCATTATACTAAGTGAAGTAAGTCAGAGAAAGATAAGTATCATGATCTCACAAATATGTGGAATGTAAAAAAATAAACAAGTTCATAGATACAGAGATTAGTGGTTGCCAAAGGCAGAGGGTGAGGGGTAGGCAAAATGGGTCAATTGGTATAAACTTCCAGTTATAAAATAATACGTAATGAGGATGTAATAAATGGCATGGTGACTACAGTTACAATAGTGTATTCTATATTTGAAAATTGCTAAGAGAGTAAATCTTAAAAGTTCTCATTACAAGAAAAAACCTGTAACTCTGTATGGTGATGGATGTTAACTAGCCTTATTGTGGTGGCCATTTCACAATACATACACTATGCTGTATACCTGAAACTAATATAATGTTATATGTCAACTACATCTCAATTTAAGAAAAAAGATGACAAGACAATTCCATCTGAAACAACCTCCAAGATATGTGGTTAAGTTAAAAGCAAGCAAGATACAGAACAGGGATAGAAAACTATTTTCCTCTGCTCACAAAAATTCGGACATCAAGTGCATGGGTTTTCTTCCCCACACCATCCAATTCTCTGACATCAGCTGGGCGTCCTACAATTCAATACAATTCTGATACTATCTACCTGGATTTAATATCAGATATCACAAGTTAAGGGCTCAGTCCCACAAGACTTCCCCCATTTCAGATGGCAATCACAAGCCCAGGCCTCCAGTACTTCTGGACAATGGGCTATAAATCAGGGAGTCCCACAATCCGAAGGCGTCATAATCTGCTAGAACAGCTCCCAGAACTCAGAAAAACACTTATTTAACCTTTACCAGTTTATTATACAAAAAGGATATGATAAAGGATACAGATGAATAGCGAGATGAAGAGCTATACAGGGCGAGGTCTAGAAGTGTCTGGTACACAGGAGCTTCTGTCCCCCATGGGTTTGGGAGGACCACCGTTTTGGCACGTGGATTGTGTTCACCAACTCGGAAGCTCTCCACACCCAACAGTTCAGAGATTTTTATGGAAGCTTCATCATGTAGGCATGACCAATAATGAACTCAATCTCTAGCCCCTCTCCCCTCCCTGGAGGATGGAAAGTGGAGCTAAAAGTTCCAAACTTCTAATCATGGCTTTGTCTTTCTGGTAAACAGCCCCAATCCAAAAGCTCACCAAGAGCTGCTTCATTGGTAAAAAGGTGCTCACCAAGAGATGACAAAGGTTTTTGGAGCTCTGTATCAGGAAGTGGGTCAAAGACCAAATATTAGAACAAAAGATGTTCCTAGCATCTCTATCATTCAGGAGATTTACAAGGGTTTTAGGAGTTGTGTCAGGAACTGAGCAGAAACCAATATAGATATTCCTTAAGTCACAAAACCCTAGCTCCAACAGTAACTAGCTCGGTGACCTTGGGCAAGTTATATAATCTATCCATGCCTTGCTTTTTGTCTCTAAAAGAGAGCATAATAACAATAGCTTCCACATAAGGTTCCTGTAGGAATTAAATTCATTATTGAATATTAGTGTTCGACAAATGTTAAGTATTATTATAATAAATCATATATTTAATTCAGGGCTATTAGGTCAAAGAAGTAGAGATAAACTTTTACAACTATACGTCCCTGTATTTATAGAACCAAGCATATTTTTTAATCAAATTTTTAAATAATTACAAATGAAATAACTAAAAAAAAAAGTACTTACTTTGTAGCAGCAGCAAAATGTCTGTTGGGCACCTGAACACATACAGAGCAAGGATAAAGTGACTGATTAGCCATTTTGGAGAGATTATGCCTTTGATGCTGTATCAAGACTTGAAAGAAAAAAACATGTAAAATGTTAATATTAAATAATCATTACATTCATAATTTTTACATTCTTAGTGTTTTCCAAAACAAAAATATTCAATATTTTGATTCTTAACCATTCTTTGAAAAGTGTAATAATGGACGCTCCAATTCTTGAAACTAAAGTCAAGTAAATAGATCTAATTGAACAATTTTGTCTTCACTTACTTTGAATATAATTCAGGCTCAGAATATATTAGCTCTATTATTACAGACTATGTATATGTATCCATAAATTTTTAAATAATTTAAATTTTATTCATTTTAATAGACAATACATTCAGAGTTGTCCAAGGTACTTCTGAAGGATAAAAACAAAATGTAGGGAATTGCCTTACCAGAGATCAAGACTTACAAAGCTATGGTAATTAAGACACTTTGGTATTGGCACAAATATAGAAAGACTAATAAAACAATATACGGCCTAACAACAGATTCATGTACCTATGGATATTTGAAATATGTAAAATGGAGATGATGCTGTATGTTGCCCCCACCTAAAATTTACCTTTTTAAAATAACAGTACATATCACTGTGCTTCAAAAACACAAAACAAAAATTTTTTAAAGCACTGTACCAAAAAAAAGGATGTCAACCTAGTCTTTAATTGGACCTTGTTAAGTGCTGAAAAGAGTTGCTACTAATAAGTAGGACAGAATCAATCGCCAAATGACAAATGTTGATCCAAATTAGACCATCTCTGTGGAAGTTTAAGAATTAGAATCGCCTGCAACGTTGTGGTACTCCGAAAGCACCAACAAAGCATTTTCTAAACGATGAAGTTGAGAGTTGTGAGCCACACAAATATACCACGTTGGTCTTATCAGAATTCACTTCACGTATCAAACGCCTTTTCCCGCCCGCAGCCCACACCCCCAGTATCGGAGACCGAGCCCTGTCCTTGCCTCCGTCCCTACCGGTGGCTGGAGGGGTGTCAATGTACCTCTCACTCCCACTCCCCCCTAGGGTGGACGGCTCCAAAAAGGAGTGAAACTGCTGATATGGTCGCTTTTCAGTAGTAGTGACCTTCTGGAGAACCTAGAGCCCAGAAAGTGGAGAGTTTTCCAGCCCCCTCAATGCAGACCCGTGCCTAGGCAGGTCCAGCTTGCACTCTGCTGCAACAGGGAACTCCGCGCCAGAAACCTTTTCTCGCCACAAACCCAGATGACCCATTGCTTTACCTCTACCGAGGCATCTGACGGCCGCCGCCATGTTTACTATTCCGGATTGTGTTAACAATATTGGTCCTACGCGTCAATTTGGAAGAGATTTTGAAAGGGTTCCCTTCCGGAACTGGCGGAGGGGGAAAGGATAAGAAGGAGCAAGAAGAAAGGGGCGGGAACCAAACCATGTTTTCATGCAGTGGGGGAGGGCGCAGGACGCCGGGGCCCCGGGGCGGTGTTCCCATCAATCCTCCGTGGGGCCCAGGACCCTGTGTTTCGTGCTTCCGGTACGACAGCTTAAACATCTTCAGGGAAATCTGTTTTTCCTGGGGAACAGGGACTGGCGATGCCTTATTTAATCTTTTTTTTTTTTTAATTCTGCAAATGTACTCGGAACAATCATTTTACTAGATTTTGAGAGTACCCAAGAAAGCAAGGAAAACAGAAAAACTGAAGAAACTCACAAGCTTCCACCGCCACATTTCTAGCCTTGTAAAGTCTTAAACATTCGCCAGGCCTTACGCTACCACCCACGATGGGTTTCCGAGTCACTAACAAACTTTCTTTTAACTCAGCCCAAGATCAGCAGGGCTTTAAATTAATTTTAACCTTAATGAGCTCTACATATTGCCCCTGCTGGCAAACTGTGCCATTAGGATCAACTGAATAATAGTACTTGACAAATTTATGTAACACTTCTAGTTTTAAAATGGCAGATCCGAGACCTACGCACAGGTTATTCTGACTGAAAAAAAAAAAAAATCTGTATCCTGTCTGTTACGTCACAGCTGTCAGTACGGTCTGTCTAATACAAATCTAGTCAGATTATATCACTTACCAGTTTAAATAAAACCAGCTGGTGACTAACTCTGATGCTGGAGTCTGGCCTCTGCCTGCCTTTCCAGCCTCAATAACCCTGTCAACATTCCCCCACCCCCATCCTCCACACGCACGCATGGTTTCTCATCCCCACCACGCTGTTCATTCTGCCCCCTCTGTTTGGAATATCTTGTACCACATCACCTAGGTAACTTAAGATTTCAGCTCAGACTTCACTCACTGATAAGCCTCCTTCCTTCCTTCCCAGGCTGAGTTATGGCCATCTCTTTGTGATTTTGTGCAGTACCCAGGGCTTATATCTGGTTTTTTGTTTGTTTTTAAGCAGTTTTATTGAGATATAATTCACATACCATACAATTTGCCAATCTGAATTGTACAATTCAGTGGTTTTTAGTATATTCACAGAATTGCGCTACTATCACCACAATATAATCTTTTTCCCACCAACATGAGCTCTTTGGGAAAGAAATCATCTTATTCATTTTTGTAATCTCAGCCCATACTACAGCACCTGGCACATATTAGTCCCTCAATAAATGTTTGTTGAATAAATAAATTTATATACATGCATGAATTAGTGACTCAATTAGAATAACAGGCCCGCGAAATTAACTTGCTTCCACGAAGCTGCCCAAGGAAGTTGGACTGGACCACAGGAAATTCACAAATGTTTTATTTCGTATTTATATACTGTACACATATACATGAAGAGCAAGATTTCTAATTTATTGTCTTGTTAACACCTAAGCAGTTACTTCAGATGTTCCACACCTATTTCTGACTGTTGTACAAAAAAAACTCAAACAACTTGAATCTACTTTATAACCTTCTTCCCTTTCCTTTTCTTTCCCTTCCTTCTTTTCGCAAATATGTGAGTGCCTGTCACGTGTTAAACAGTGTGCTTGGCTATGCGTAGACGTGATGAATAAAACCAAAACAACCATTGCTCTCATGATACTTAAAAATGAATTTCATTTGAAGATAAATGCCAGAATTGGAGCAAGTTCACCAAACCCATTCAGACAAAAACACCAGAATTAGAGATGCCAGTCTTTAGACTCTATATCCCTCCCTTTCCATAGCTAGATTCAGTTGGCCCCATCTGTGTACTTTTTTATGTCTTTTGTTAAAACAAGAGAATTTAAATGTCCAGTATTGGAACTCAGGGTAACATGTAGTATGCTTACAGTAGTAGCCTTATTAAAGCAATGTCCTGTAGACATACAGCTTACCCGATGGCCCACTTTGAGCACCAGCAGTTGATGGCATTAGTCAGGTGAGGTCCAGAGTCCAGTTATCAATACATAAAAATATATAAAGAGGTTATTCAGCTTAAGACATAAAAACTACAAAAATCCACTCTGAAACAAGAACTCTAAGCCTCTGAATATTTAATACATAATGATGGTCTCACTGAAAAGAGGCTGTAGAGCATTCTGTTAAAGCAGTGGTGCTCTTAAGGTAAACTTCTGGATTTGAATCCCAGTATCATCACTAGCTGTGTCACCTAGGGCAAGTTACTATACCTCCCTAGGCCTCAGTTTCCTCATCTTTGATACGAGGCTAATAATAAGATAATTTACTGAGGTACTTACTACAATATCTTGAACAGAGTAAACACTTATTAAATGTTAAATGTCTTCGTTAGTAAGGAACCAGTGAGAATTTTTAACCAGAGAGGAAAAATGAATAAGCTATTCTAGTATACCTTCTAATATCTGCTTATTTCTTAATATATATGCTACTCTTGTCCCCACATGCTTTATATCAGAACTTTTATTAGTATTTGAAGAAAATATTTAGCTTGTGTTTATGCACTTCCTCAAAGTTCACTTTAAACACAACTTTTCCCAGTTTATTTCTAGGAAGGCTTGTACTCTCCAGGAGTTGTGGCCACATGCCAGCTGCTTGGCTGCTCAGCTGAGAGAAGCTTCTAAATATTTGCCTGGCCCCGTAGTTCTCTTGATTTGTGTTTTTCTGCCTTCCTCAACCATCTGCCAGTTGATCTGGAAGCTTTGTTACAAGAAGAGTCACTTCCTATTTGAGGTTCAAGTTGAAAATGGGTTTTCTTATTGGACAAAAATAAGGACAAAAATTTCCTACTTCAGAAGTGTGTATCAGAATCACTCAGAAGGCTTGTTAAAACTCAAATTGCTAGCCTCCAACCTCCAGAACTTCTGATCCAGTAGACCCTGGGCAGGCTCGCGAATTTGCATTTATAATCAGCTCTCAGCTGATGCTGATGTACTGGTCCAGAGAGCACACTTTAAAAACCACTCCCAAAATAATAACATAAAACATCTGCATCCATACCTACCATTAGCTTGGGGAGGAGTTGTTGTTTTGTTTAACAATTTAATGCTCCATATAAATAGGCAATAAGAACACGAATTTCACCAAATGGTATGTCTCTAGGACCAGAATCTACCCACTCTTATCCTCTCCTTCTCTATACAGAAACTGCTATTCCAAACCTAGAATTCAGCTCCAAAATTGTTCAGATGTCAGCTGGGCTAATTTCCAGAGTCTACCTCTGGAAATTCTACCTGTCTTTCTATCTGGATTTTACCCACTCCTAGATTTCCTTTCCTCCTGGTGCTTACTTTAGACTCGGATTATTTTTTCATAAAGTAATGACTATCTAAAATAATTTCTTAGTCTCAAGGTTGAAAGTTTGGTAAGGAATTGGAACTCATTTTGTCTGTCTTTCTCCCCCATATATGCGAGCTTCTCTAGCCAAAAACCCCCAGGAGACTATTTTAATTCCAGGTGGAATTAGGAGATTTAGAACTATCTAGTAGAATTGCTGGTAAATGTTTAATAACTGGCTCTCAGTACAACAGAAATGTATTTGTAGAATTTACCCATCTCCACAGTGTAAATATTCACACAATAGCTGATTTCAAGCTACCAAACATGAAATCAACTCACTCACAAAATTTCTGACAATTAAACACTTGGTTCTCACATGGCTACAGCATACTACTAGAAGTTTTCTGGTAAAAGCCTTTGGTAACTTTTAGAAGGCCTAAAACAAATTAATTCATCCTAGAGCTGAACTCCTCAAACTTCACTGTGAATACAAATCACATGGGAATCTTATTAAAGTGCAGATTCTAATTTACTAGGTCTGCGTGGAGCTTGAGATTCTGATTCTAACAGGCTCCTAAATGATGTTGATGCTACTGGTCCATGGGCCACACTTTGAGTAGCAGAATTCTGGAACATATCCTAGAGCAAAATTCATATTTTTATCATTAGTCACAAACCAGAACCTTTTGAATAGGCTCTCTCCCTTCCGAATACATGGAATAAATTTAAGCGGATACCCAAATTTCTGGATATAGCCTCTGTGACCTCCAACTTTCAGTGGAGATACTAGAAATATCAATAATTTCCTGCCCCACCCATATCTGCTTCTGGTAGAAACTTCCTTCTCCCACATAAATACAATTTCCCAGCCATCCAACCCAAGGAAAGTTATCCATTCTGTAGCAGTGATCTGGGCTTGAAAATAAAAGCTGGGCCAGTCGTTCTCACGGAACTGAAACTGGGAAAATGAAAAGACTAGAAAAGGAAAACAGAAAGACATTTTCTTTGTTGTAGGAGGAGTCAAGCTATAAGGTCATGGAGTAGATTCAAGGCTAGAGAAGAAAGGCAAGCTGAAATTATTAGTGAGCAGAAATGATGCATAAGTAGAGTTCTATGAAGCCAGTTTCAAGAATGGAATGGAGTGAGGATGCCGAGAAAAGCAGAGAGATCATGAAGAAGAAAGAAATCTAGCAGCCTCTGAGAGGAAGATAGAAAATGTCGCCTCAATTCCTGTTACAGTTTCCGTTAAGTCTGCTGTATCACTGCCCCTCTCCGTGCATTCTTGTGAGATCCCTATCTACCATATCTACCCCTACGATTAACCCCTGTTTTCTTGAGCTAGCACCAGTGAATTTCTATATCTCCTAAACAAACAAAAACTAATTAAAAGCATTAAACTCTAGTTATTCTGGTCATAATGCATGAATTGGCAGCTCCCTGCTAGAATGAGTAGTAAATAAAGCCCTAATCGTGGAGGCCTAGTTTGAAAAGCTTTTGAAGGTCTTTTATGTACCTGATATATAAACTCTCTCTATAATTCTGCTTAAATTGTTAGTGACAAACTCTTGAATATTCTGTAAGGTAGTTCATTCCATTTTGGACAACTCTAATTGTCAAAGTTGTTCCATACAGTATTAAAGCTGAAATCGTCTTCCATGTAACTTGGACCCAATTGAAGCCTTTGGATCATTTCCACATGGCAAACTTCCTGTTATTGACAAGAGCTATCATGCCTCTTGTCTG